TTCGAAACCTTGAAGGGTGAATGTCTTTCCGTGATTCCCGAGTTAATAGTTTAACCTCCAAAATTCTCACGAGGCCGTAGGTGATACTGTGTTGGCAATGTTTTTTTGTCATTATATTTGACTGGAGGATTTAGTAATTTTTTTTAGGCATAAGAAAATGGATCAAACATCATTGATGCAAATGTTCCCAGATGGTTCCGGTAATCTTCGGATGGAGAATTTCAGTCCAGCATGGTATTTAATTGAAAACCATCGCGAAACAAAGTGATTCTTATGCTGTTTTATTCTTTTTACAATTAAATAGTAAAAAAAAGCACATTTTTTCCTCTCAAAATATTCTTTTCGTGTTGAATTTTTGCTTTTACCAGTTTCACCAGCGTGAGCATAAGAATTAAATTTATTGGCATTATTATTTAACATCAATAGCGATATGCCCGGTATGTTTGAAATAGCATTAATTCATACCTGGGCAACTTTTCCAGTTGTTTTGACCGGTGCTGCATCGCTGCCTGGTGTAAATTTGCTGCCGTTACTGACATATGGTTTTCTTCTGCGGATCCAATATTCAGCTTAATGCTTCAGAAGCAGCTAGCATAATTTTCCATGACGATTGTGGTGCAAGTTGAGCACATTGGAGGATGCAGAAGGGGAGCGACGATGGGTCTTCCCCCCCTCCCCCGCTCTCCCCCTCTCCCCCTTTACCGGACAGGTTACAGTGCTAAAAATGAAGAAAACTCTCTTCAGTACTCGTCATCGCTTTCCCGCATCTTCCTCCCCCTTCCTTCTCCCCCGTCGCTGCCTCTAGGAGAGATAACCGGGGTAACCAGGGAAGAGAACAGAAAAATCGCCAAAATCGCTCCCCCTTCTCCCAAGAAACCGTTCCTGAGTCTGCCTATGGCTGAACATCATTGTTGAGTTCCGAAAGTTACTACTGTTGAGCCATGACAAAACATTTTACCGACTAGTAGTAGATTTAGCATTCGGGCGTCATTTTAGGTTTTACTGGGATTCTTCAACACGTTAGGCGAAGCTATGCCCTTCGTATATTCAGTTAGGTTCCAGTAGTTGTTCGATGTATGTGCCCCACCTTTTCAGAAACTGACATACCAACACCGGGAGTTTCCCCCAAATTTCCTAATTTTCATTTCG